TGCGCGAGCGCGCCCCAACGGGCGGGCCGGGTCGGGCGGGCGGGTCGGGCCGGGCGGGCGCCGACGAGCGGGTTGGGCCAGCGGGGCATTGGAATGGGATGCGTCATATGAATCGGCACTCGTGTACCCTGAGGGGCGGGTCGTTTCGAGCGCGGGTCGCGTCGGGCGGGCGGGCGGGGCCTGTCCATCCGGACCGCCCGGACTATGCGCCCGCCCCAACCGGACCAGAGGGACCCCGATTTAAATCGGGATCCACCTGGTTGGCCCAGTTGGTCCCAGTTAAATCGGATGGCGGTGGCCCGGGACCCCGATTTAAATCGGATGGCGTTGGCCCGGTTGCTTGGGCCAACTGGGCCAACGCCATCCGCCGGGCCACCCCCGGACCAGGCCCCCACGTGGACCAACCGCCAGACCACCTGGACCTCCGGACCACCTGCAGCTGCAACCGGACCAACCAGACCTATGGGACCAACAGGCCAACCGGACCACCCGGACCACCCGACGTGCCCGGACCATGTTCAGACCGCCCAGACCATGCACCCGCACCACCCAGTCTAACCGGACCATCTGGACCCACCAGACCAACCTGACCCCGACCTACCAGACCAACCAGACCAACCAGACCAACCTCATCCACCAGACACAAAACCACCTAGACCACCCCCCCGACCAGGCCCTCAATTTCTGGGACAAACCGTACAGCCAGACCAGCCAGACCAACTGGACCGACCCGGCCACCAGACCTGCCTGCCAGGACCATCCAGAAGATCCGGCCTATGCACCCGGACCATGCACCCAGACCACCCGGACTTCCCTGACCAGGTTGACCACGCGGATGAAGCGGACCCGGACCACCCGGACCGACCAGACCATTAGGACCGACCAGACCAGCCAGACCAGCCGGGCCAGCCCGACCAATATGGACCAATTCAGACCAACCAGTTTCCGGACCAACCTGACCAGGTGGACCCGCCGGACCAACCGCACCAACCGGACCTCCGGGACCAAGCAGACCAAACGGACCAAACGGACCAACCGAGCCAACCGGAACAGCGGGACCAACCAGACCACCCGGACCAACCGGACCGACCGGACCAACCGGACAAACCGGACAAACCGGACAAACCGGACCATTAAGATTAACCGGACCAACCAGATTAGCCAGGCCACATGGACCAACCGCACCAACCGGACCAAGCGTACCAACTGGACCACCAAGACCACCCGATTTGTCCGGACCAACCCGACCACCCGGACCAACCAGACCAACCGGGTTAATTTGATCAGCCAGGCCAGCCGAACCAACCAGACCAACCGGACCAACCGGATCAACCAAGCCAACCCGAACATTCGGACCACCAACCAGACAAAGCGAACCAACCGGACCAGCCGGACCAACCCGGACCAGCCGGACCAAATGAGTTGGACCACCCAGACCGAGCGGACCAACCCGACCAGCCAGACCCCGGACGCGCGGACGGTTATCGTCGGCGGGTCGGATCGTGCAGACTTTCATGGGCGGGTCGGGCGGGCGGGACAGTAGACTATGATACATCATCGGGCTAGCACCCGTGTGCCCTAACGGGCGGATCGGGTCGGTCGGGCGGGCTGGGTCGGGCGGACCTTGACGGGCAGGTCGGGTTGGGCGTTTCCAGATAAATTTTGCGTGCGTGGTGCCAGCGGGCGACCTTATAGACTCCTTGCGACCCCGTTTCGTAAAATCAATGATTTGGCATTTCATATTTCTTCAATTTTTTTATTTTTTTTTTTTTTTTTTTCGCTGAGGCCTTTTTCTTTTTCTTTTTGTGTTTTTTTTTATTTTCTGGGTTTCTTCTTTCTCTTTATCTTCTTGGTGCATCTTGTGGTGCCTCTGGGGGGTCTCTTGGGGCCTTCTTGGGGTCTCTTGGGGGCCTCCTGGGGGCCTCTTGGGGGCCTCTTGGGGCCATCTTGGGGCCATCTTGGGACCTCTTGGGGCCTCCTGGGCGCTTCTTGGGGCCTTTTTGGAGGAGATCGATCAAACAAGAGGGGAGCATTAATGAGCGACCCCCCCCCCCAGGAGGCCAACATGGGGCCTCTTGGATGTCTCTTGGAGGTCTCTTGGCAGCCTCTTGGCAGCCTCTTGGAGGCATTCTGGGGGCCTGGGGGCCTCCTGGGGGCCTCTTGGGGTTTCCTGGCCACCTCTTGGGGCACCCTTAGGAGCCTTGGCGGCCATCTTTGGGCCATCTTAGGCGAAATCGATCGCAGGAGGGGGGTGTTCAATTAGCGCACCCCCCCCCCAGGAGGCCAAAATGGGGTCAAAACCGTAATAAAATCAATGATTTTGGCTTCCTCGCCGAGGCCGTTTTGGACGCTCCGACGACTCGCGAAAACCCTTGTCCAGGTCCATGGGGAGGGGGTAGGGCAAGCTAGGTGCGCTCGCGTCATATCTCACATCCTACCCCTCCCTCCCATCCCTTACCATGGCGTAGATCCCCTCTCTACTCGCACAGTCGGATGTCGAGCAGGGCAATGATCCCGAAAGGGTACGCGATGCATTGTAGAGCACGGCATGGCATGGCGTAGAAGAGCACCGCAAAGCGTAGTATCAACGTAGCATTGCATTGCATGCCGTGGCATGGCACGGTAAATGACGCCGGCGCTGCAGCGGGAGCACGAGTCGGAACGAGCGGAAGCGCGGAAATGAGGCCAGTGCTGCAGCGGGAGCACGATTCGGAACGAGCGGAAGCACGGAAATGAGGCCACCGCTGCAGCGGGAGCACGATTCGGAACGAGCGGGGCCCGAAAATGAGGCCGGCGCCTCAGCGAGAGCAGCATTTTGGAAAAAAATGCAGGCTCTGGGGAATCCTGCGTGTAAAAAAACAGTACGCGGGGGAGGGCTAATACTTTCAAGCCGTCATCAGGGGAAGAGGGAGAGTAGTATTCATCCGCAAAGCGTAGTATCAACGTAGCATTGCATTGCATGCCGTGGCATGGCACGGGAAATGACGCCAGCGCTGCAGCGAGAGCGCGAGTCGGAACGAGCGGAAGCGCGGAAATGAGGCCAGCGCTGCAGCGGGAGCACGATTCGGAACGAGCGGAAGCACGGAAATGAGGCTAGCGCTGCAGCGGGAGCACGATTCGGAACGAGCGGGGCCCGAAAATGAGGCCGGCGCCTCAGCGAGAGCAGCATTTTGGGAAAAAAATGCAGGCGAAAACCCAACTCCGGGGAATCCTGTGTGTAAAACAACTGTACGCGGGGGGGGGGGGGCTAATATTTTCAAACCGTCCTCAGGGGAAGATGGAGAGTAGTATTCATATTGAGTAATTGTCGAGGGTTAAACCCCCCTCCCCGAAGGGGAAGAAAAAGGAGTGGAAGAGGAAACGCTCTAAACCACCGACGTCCAGAGGGCTGGTGGGATTAGAAGTGCTACGCACAAGGTGAGGAAGGCGTGGTCAGCCTTCCGCACCTCTCGGAGGCGGGCGAGCGAATTCTCGCCAGCCGACGTAGTGAATCTGGCGCTCCGCTGAACGCTCCGACCACTGAGCGCTCGCTGCCTGACGACTGTCAGGACCGACGCAGCGGAATGAAGGAAAGAGAGGCAGCGGGGGATGGGAAGGGCGAGGGAGACGGGCAGGTCAGACGCGCCCGGGTGGCAGCGTTGCTCGGCCGCTGCCAGCCAGCGGGCAAGGCGCCGGGGGTTCGGCCCCGTGCAGGGGCGAAGATGCCCAAGCCTTGTACGGTAGGTTCGCGTCGTGTCGACAGGTTGCGACACCAGCGCGGGCGCTTGAGGTTGAACGCCGCCGGTGGCCCAGAATCAGCCCATCGTTGAACGATGAGCCGCTTTGGGAACGACCGATCCTTCAAGGTTGAACGATCCCCGCGATGTCCGAGACCACCGGTGGGGTCGGCACGACGCGAGCCTGCCGTGCACCGCCTTGCGCCTGGTGTACGGGTGGGGGCCCTGGCCCTGGAGGGCCGCTCTACGCGTCGCTGGAGGTTGCGACGGAGGCCGGAGGCTGCGAGGGAGGAGTATGATTCGACGTAGGCATGAGAAGAGAAGGAAGCACGGTAGGCATGATTCGACGTGGGGATTCGCATCTCTTTTTTCAGTAGCATTTATTTCTGAACATTTGGGCACGAGTGCGTCTGAGTACTGGCGAAAAGCCGACAGTTTGGACGCAAACGAATCCGTCGTATACCCCTTGGCGGGTGAACCCTCTGGAGGCCCCAGTGCCACGCCTGCTTCATCGCGATGGTCATTGTGTTCTGAAGAGAGTGGCCGCCAAAACGGCCTTTCTACCCGAGAGGTCATGAAACTCTGGACACGAATGTGTTCGTGAAATACTTGGCGGGTCCCCGCTAGGAGGCCCCATTCCATTGAATGTATAGCAAGGGCTGGCACCTGCGCACTGCCGTACCGGTGAGACCACCAACGTCCCTCCAGTCCGCACGGCGAGTTGCGGCCGTTCTTTTTTACGACGACGTGGTTATTGATTACGTCGGCTCTCGGGGTATTGGCATTCGCTGGGTGATTGGCATTTGTGGATCGCACTGCACGGTGCTGCATTTGTGCCACCCGGTAGACAAAACGAGAGAGAGAGAAGAGAGAGAGAGAGAGAGAGACAGCAGCCACATCGCTGAGACTGGCCCTTGGGTCTTGTGCCCTTGGAGCCAGAGAACCTCCGTGTCGAGTTTCGAGCGCACAGCTGCAGCACTACCACCACCATTGGGGCAGTACCAGCCTCATTTGCACAGCGTGGACTGCAGCACCGTTGGGACTGTCACGTCCAGGCGCAGCGCAGTCTTTCTCCTATCCCTCACTCCGCCCTCGCCCCTTCCCCGTCTTTCTCCTCGTCATCCCGATGGCCCTCGCCCTTTTCTTTCCCCTTCACTACCCTCCCCTCCTGCCCCCTTTGCCTCCCCCCCTCCCCTCGCTTACCGCTCACCTCCCCTTCACCTCCTCCCTCGCCTCCTCCCTTCCCGCGCTTTCACTTCCCCTCTCGTCCTCTCTGGCGCGCAGGTGCCAGAGGACTGCGTGCGCGTCGTCGTCAAGTGCCAGATCACAACGGGGAAATTCAAGGAGGCCACCCAGGGGATCTAGCCCGTCCTCCTGCTGGCCCTCCCTCCCTGCCCCCCCTCACTGAGGAGGAGCAGGAGGAGGAGAAGGAGGACGAGGACGAGGAGGACGAGGAGGAGGAGGAGGAGGAGAAGGAGGAGGAGAAGGAGGAGAAGAAAGAGGAGGACAAGGAGGACAAGGAGAAAGAGGAGGAGAAAGGGGAGGAGAAAGAGGAGAAAGAGGAGGACGAGGAAGAAGAGGAGGAGGGAGGAGAGAGGGCGAGGAGGAGGAGGACAAGGATGCCCCAGGCGGCGCCTAATTTATCGTCTCGTCACAATTGCGTCCTCTGATGTTTT